TATATTCTTAAATCTTTGTATGTATGTGTATATATATATATAAATACATACATATACATTTAAAATGACAGTGTCTAGAAGTTATTTGGTAAACCCTCTTAGAGAAAACAGGGGCTGAAGATTTAAAAGTCATTAACATGATTGTGCTGGTTTAAGCCCTGCCGGGGCTGGAGAGCCCGTTGCTGTTGCCCCTCCCCCACCCTCAGCCTGTTGGGTTGGCAGTGAGGCACAAACCCGGGTTAAAATAAGGTGAAATTTAATACAGCAGTGTGATAAACAATCTGAACAACAACAGTGGCAATGATAATAACAATGAACAGCAATAACAGTGAACCAGACAAAAGTTATACAGAGAAATACCGCAAAATGTCAAGGAACAAGCCCGCCGTGTGTGTGCGCAACCCCAAAACCAAAAGTGAAAGTAAAAAGGTTCCGCCCCCGGACCTGACGTCAGCATGGTATGAATAACCCGGCCAGAGATCCCTTCCCCCTCTCTCTCTGCTGGGGAAAACTTGACCCTATCCTAGTTGAACCAGGACACATGATATTAAAGTTTCTTCTCATAGTAAAAATCTAATAGCTCCATACAAATATAAAAACTACATTCCGTTTGGGAGTGGGCATACTTTTAATGTTTCAGGCTGTTCCCTGTACTACACTATTGTACCAGGAAGGCAGCTCCTATCCAGGAAGATCTGTGCAGATCGAGTATACCTGAGGGACTCCAGAGACAAATGTCTGCCACATATACAGAATTTTATATTGTTACTATATAATATGTGTCTCTAACAGTTGGCAATGATGGTTACTGGAGTCCTAACCTTCAGTATTGTATGTCAAACTAAGCAACCCCTTCATCCTTAGTTTTAGGAAGGTCTTGGGAAGCACTTTTTCTAAGAGCACTAAGCTCCTTGATTGAAAGTGTACAAGCACAGGAATTTTGCAGGAGTGAATAGAGTTGTTTTGCTATATGTAGGAATCTAACATGATAAGCTTAAATATATGGCAGCACCTTCTGGGACAGAAAAGTCTTAACACTCTTATTCTTAATAGACATCCTCCATCAAACATACCATCATTCTTTACCTGGAAATTTCCATATGCTAAGAAAAATTCTTCAGCTGGACAATGAAACCCTATGTCCTTACCTTACAGTACTAGCAGACAAAACAAGAAGGCAGGGGAAAAAGTTAATGTTTGTTAATGAGAAATGTTATATTAGACCCTAAGTTAGGAACTCATTTTACTGACCTTTTTTTTTTTTTTTTTTTTTTTTTTTTTGATGCTCAGAAGTGAAACAGTTTTCTGCTTGACAGGAATGAGTATGACGTGTGGTGCACAAACTTTCACATGTTCATGTTTGTAGGTCTGAGGCAGGGAGGAGAATAAATAATTTCCATCCCTTTTCAGTTAATGAGTACAGACTCTGAGAACATTTGACTTTGTATAGAAAATAAGATGCACAGTGAGTCACATTCAGCAAAACAAGCGGTTCTGTGTTTTCACTTTGCAATGCCTGAATTGTTATATTTGAGGAACAGTAACTGCAGCCATCCTACAAGTCGTACAAGTCATTCTCTACACGTGCATTGCTCCATCTCTTACTCATCTCTTACTCCTCACATTGTATGAAAGAATAAAACTTGAGTTAGAACATGTGGCTCCCTTCAACAGGAGAAATATGTAATTTAGTTATCCAGAAAAGAGCAGTGGGAGGTCTCCTGTGGACCTTGATCACATTCAAATCAACACCACCTCCATGTATAGAAAAGTCAACACTGCCTGTATCAGTCCATCAGAAACCATAATGTTCATAGTTCCTGCTTGCCAAGGAGGCATATACAGCCACAACTTGGCTGAAGCATGCGTTCGTATTTTCCTCTAGGAAATAAAGTAATACTATGTAACACAATACTATCCAAGTTATTATTGCCAAAATAATGTGCATTTAACAGTCTGTAACATAAAAATATTTTCACTCTAAAATCCTTAGCCCTCCCTAGCATCCCTTTCTTTTATAGGGAGGTTGTGCTAGTTTTGTCTGCAATACAGTTAATTTTCTTTATAGTAGCTGGTATGAGCCTATGTTCTGAATTTGTGCTGAAAACTGTGGTGGGCAGAGGAAGCAAGCAGCCGATTCAATGTGAATGATAGAGCAAGCTTCAACTTTATTGCAAGAAATCACACCTTATATAAGCACTCTACAATAATCATGCATACTACTCACAAATCTATTGGGTACATCTAATAGGTTACATTATAATATCCCAGCCCCTTGTGGCATTTCAGGTATGTCACAACATCCTCCTTCTTCCGGCTTGGGTTTTTTTTTTCCCTGAGCTGTTTACCATCATAATCAGGGCCGATGTGTACCTCTGTTTTTTCCTTTGTTATCATAACTGTGCCCTGAATCTCCTTCCTTGTTAGCATAACTTACTCTGTTTTTTTTTTTCCTTTGTTTACCTCAGATGGCTGTAATCAGCTCCTGCACAGACCCATGGCCTTGTTCTGCAAGCCATTCTTCAACAGAAAACAGTGTTGATATTAAAGAGATGTTTTCATTATTGCTGACTGGTGTTTACACTGTCTTTTCAGTTTCTCATACTGCTCTGGTGGTGAGTAGGCTGGAGGTGCACGAGAAGTTCAGAGAGGACGTAGCTGGGACAGCTTACCTCAAATGACCAAAGGGATATCCCATACCATATGGTCATACTCAGCATATAAAAGTGGGAGGAGAAGAAGGAAGGGGGGACATTCGAAGTTATGTTTGTCTTCCCAAGTAACTGTTACACATGATGGAGCTCTGCTTTACTGGAGATGGCTGGACACCTGCCTGACAATGGGAAGTGGGGAATGAATTCATTATTTTGCTTTGCCTGTGTGTGCAACTTTTGCTTTACTTATTAAACTGTCTTTATCTCAACCCACGAGCTTTCGCACTTTTACCCTTCTGATTCTCTTCTCCATCTCACTGGGGAAGAGTGACCCAGCAGCTGCGTGATGGTAGCTGGGCTTAAACCACAACAGAGGTGTAACTACAAAATATGAGCCGGTGAGATAAAACATAAGTCTGTCTATGTGGCTTGTTTGGCACAGTTTAGGCCTTTAGCCTCTGGTCATTTCTACTATAAATTATCACAAGCTATTCTCCTTGGAAGCTCAGAACAGCTGTACCACTTTGGGTCTTCAGTCATCTCCAAACACTTCCTTCTTGCCTGCTAGTTCCTGTAATGCACCTAGATCTCACCCACATAAGTTGACCATAGAAAATTCATCAGCAGGTCTGCAGTTTCCTGTTGCTAACTTTAGATCCTTTTACACTTTCCAACTCCACTGCCTCATGTGAAGACAAGCCTACCAGGAGAAATAACTACTGTAGGACTAATTCTTTGCAAGGATGTGCAGAAAAGACCAGGGTGAATCTTAATATTGTGTCCATGCAATGGCTTGGGAGTGGTCTGTGAGGTGTGATTTCAGTGAAGGGATCTTAAATACCTAAAGGGCCTTTATGCTTCAGCTTGCACTGATTGTGGTCCAAAAAGCATCAGACACAGCCATGTCACTGGCTTTGGTGGGGACCTAGGTCTGGCATAGAAAAAGCATCAGGAACAGGGCATTCAGACTGCTTGTAGGAAAGGTGAGCCCAGACTTGTGGGTAGCTCTATTGCAACTAACTTTTGGTATTACAACAGCAGGATTGCTCCCAATGGGGTGACAATGGGGTAACAATCATGCAAAGTCAGTGGCTGTCAGGACAACTTAACAAGTCACAGAGAAGTTCTCTCCTAGTTTATTATGCATTCTTCCAGCCTGTATTGTGTAAGTAATCAGCCCTCCTCTCTAGTACAAGTGTAAAAGGTATAACAACATTTTAGGGCAAGATCCCATCATTTGTTTAGCATAATCCAGCCCACAGGATGGTGAAAACCTGAATGGCAGGCTCTGAATGCAAATGAAAGGGGTATGACCAAGCTTAAGAAGTACTGGAAATATGTGTCAGGACATACACTAGGAACTGGTCAGCTACTGGTATAGTGCAAGGATGGGAGTGGGGAGCAAAAGATGCAGTTCAGAAATCTGTATTGTATGATTTAGGACAAAGAGCGGGAAATATACATCATTAAATCATATACTGAAGTATAAATTCTTAGATCTGTCTGAGGTTAAACTGTGCTAGACTAAAACTTTTTTCCATACTAGGGTCATATTTCACTCTCAGCTTAGTTACCTCAGAAGATTGTAGGTTTTGTCATGCAGTAATCAAGGGGCAGAGCTCATCTTTTTTATTAGGAAAACCCGAGTAATTTGTTTACTGCAGTAGGTCACAGCAAAAGAGTAGAATACCAGAAAATACTTCAAACAACCCTCCCCTTCAGGACAAGGTGCAAGAGGCATGTTTATCTTCTTTTCATATTAATTTTTTAATCACTCTGCTGTTAATGAACCATAGTAAATTTTACTGACTACACAATGTTATAAACTGACTTCTTAAAATTGGCTTAGTCAGAGTTCCCAATTTCTTTATTTAGCAAGCGGCAACAAGTAAAACAGCGCTGGGTGGCCAGGGAGTCTCCTGCTCCAACAACGGCCCGCACCCTCCAGGGCACTCTGTTTCACTCTTATACTACAAAGTATCACATAGTCATTATACACCTATACATATTCATTACTTGAACCCGCCTACTCCTGCTTCGTATGGTAATTAGCTTATCATTCCTTTACGCTTGCGCAGAAGTTGTTAAAACTACGGGCAGGGGTCTTCAAATCGTGGGGGGTGGTCTTCTGGGAGGAAGGCCGTAGGTCCTCCTTGCAGTGTACTTTTCACCTTGCGCTTGGAATGTGATGATCCTCTGAGATTGCAGTGTTCTTATCAGTCTAGGCCCAGTAATCTCTTTGCATAATGAAATTCAAGGTCGTGAACATCCTCCTGTTTTATTCAATTATGCGCCTGCAATTCTCCACATCTTCTGACGTACAGATGCTTCTTCTCTTGTACACTATCATGTTAGTTCAATTAAGCATTTGCTGTTAGTATTACACAATATGCAATAGTTCATATTACAGTTCGCTGAATTTGATGAACAGACGGTTTACCACCTATCACACACAAGTTACCTCAAAAATATCACCAGTTAAAGAATAAAGTCTATTATGAAGAGAGCAGAAAAAAATCATTGTGCTTATGGAGAAACATGGTCTATTTACAAAGAGCCTGCATGTCTTCTACAAAGGGAAATCCTGCCTCAGTAATGTCCTAGACTACTAAGAAGGTATTAATAAGCACATGGGTAGGGGGGCACTCATGGAGATAATGTGTTTCTACACCAAAAATTACTAAGAAACTATGTTGCCATGAAGCTGAAGGAGCTGGACTGAAAGCAAGTTAAAGGATACAAAGGTAAGTATAGAAAGCAAAACTTAAGAGTCACTTTTTAAACTAAAGATGAGTGAGCAGTGTTGTCCCCCAGGGATCAGTACTGTCATTGGTGTTATTCCTGAAGGTTGCAGTAAGTAACAACATCTTTTTGCAAGGACTTGAGGAACATTTGTTGGAAGATATTCTCAGTAAACAAGCTGTAGCATGTCTACTGCTAGTGCACCTCGAGCTCCTTAAAATGGTACCTAGCCCCACACTCCTGCCTTCCCCTCTGGAGGCAAAGAAACAGCTGAGCACCTCCGCCTGTCAGAGCAGCTGTCTCCACATCAGAGGAGATGTGGGAATGGAGACATGTTCATCTCCCTTTGTGCCTGTGTGATGCCCAGCACAGGACTGGGCAGTGTTGTGTGACACAGTTTCTCTCTCTGTGATGTCCGAGATCTTCATCCCCGGATGCTGTGACTCCTCTGAGAGCCTGGGCTCTGGAGTGCACAAGGATGGCTGCAGTGCCTCTCAATTCTCAAGTGCTATGGGGCACATTTAAGCCCAGCTGCCCTGGCAGTCCTGGGACTGTTTCCAATTTAGTAACCATTTAAATTCCTACCTAAGGAGCTTTGCTGCCTGTATGATGCTACTAGGTAGTCATACAGCCATACAAAGTATATTTACTTCCTCTAGAGTTAAGGAACCAATAACAGCTACTAAATGTTAAACTCCAAAATATTTTAGCAAGACCATTGTGTTCTGCAGCAACTGTCATGGACATCAGCCTTTGTTCAACAGCCTCTTTATTCATGATACTACCAATATTCCTTAAACCCAAGAAGAAATAAACCCCAGCATAATTAATATTTTACTAATCATTACAAAGTTTTCAGTGTTCCATAACTCTATCTCAGAAATACTAATTTTCCATTTCTGACCCAAGTCCTGTGCTTTCCCAAACCACTTTATTAATTGCATTATTACCCAAGACATAAAAAGACAACACCATTTTAGCCAATTGCAAAGACATTTTTTTTTAAAGTTCACCAAATAAGTATAGTGAACACTGCAGAGAGTTATCCAAGTCAGTAACATATAGTAGTGTTCCAGCTCCCCATTTTCTCAACTGTGCTATTCTTAAGGAACAAAAACAGTGGAGTAAACCCTGTGATCTGGCCTTCAAGCTAAAATCTGTCATTGAGACGTTACAAGGCATATCCAGACCCTGAAGAGCATCGTAAGCGTGAAAGCAAAGGTCCCTCCACAGAGCGATCTTCCACAAATGAGGTAATGTCCGAATGCTTCTCTGGCACTAATGCAGCCTCCCTCTCCTCTAACTATCCTTCTGTACAAAGCCCTGCACCAGGCACAGAGGCCAGGATAGCTGCTTTTCCAAAGAAAATTGTTCGTACTACACTCACAAAGGTGAACCTGCACAGCTCTAGAAATATCCCAAAGTTTTCCAGTTGAAATAGGTTTAAAATCTCAAGTTTAGGGAGCAGGTTGAATCAGAATGTTTTGTTTATCCAAGGCAGACAGTTAAAAAGTATTTGAAGATTAAAGTAGAATACAACAATACCCACTGATTATTATTCTCAGTAACACTGAACTAAGGTATTGGTCACAAATAATGACCAAATCATTGTAAATATATTAGGAAAGCCAGAATCCTATATGGTTTGCCCTTACAGACAACATTTTTTAACATGAAAATTTCAGTGCAGTCTAATGCCAATGTATTCCAGGTTTTGCCTAATCCTATCCTCAGTAATGTTAAATACCTTTGTAGAGTAATCCAGCCTCTCTAACCCAGTTAAAACAACATGAAGAATTTGGTGCTACTTGAAACAAAATGTTTCTCTGCGTATTCCAATAATGCAGTTCTTCAGTGACATAGGGGTTGTGCAGGCGCAACCCTTGAGGACCATGAAAAGATTAAAATCAGCTCTACAATTGTGCGTAAGAAGGACAGCTTCGTAATTTGTTTCAATGAGCAATCACATTATCGACAGCATGCTCATACTAGTGGTGCTCATAGTGTGCAGTCTGGGTTTCTCTTATCAAAATTGTTAGTGAAACACCCAGACTCTTTGTTTCATTCGTCTGTAAGAAAAAAAGGCCTTACATATTCTTTGCATTTTCAATTTACTGCTTTTCATTCTTTTTTTATTCCAGTGCTGGAAGGAAAGCTACCATCAACTGCCTCATCATTTCTCAATTTAAAAAAGCATTAGGGTCTTCTTTTTAAATTTTTATTACTGTCTAAAATTTTGATTAAAAAGTGAGATTAGTGTATAAACCAAATAAACATTTCTACATTTCTGGTAGACATGCAACTTACTGTCAGATTTCAATATTAACAAGCTCTAATTCATCATGTATACTCTCTTTAAAGTTACTAACATTCCCAGTAATACTTTTGCATCCCTTTGAAAAACAAGTCAGAGCCTGCCATCCTAACCACTGTTGTCATTAGCCTCTTCTAAGCCAATAGCAGCTCCAGATCAACGTTTTGCAGGGCTCACCAAACATGTGCTCCAGCACAGCAACGCCAACAGCACAGCTCCCATTTGTTTCAAGTCAAGGATCACTGGGCTACAATTAAGGGGTTTTTTAAGTCCCTTCCAAAATGCTTTTTATGCCCAAGCATGAGTTCAGCCTGCCTGTGCTGTGGGGCTGGCTAGCAGTTGCAAACAGGGAGCAGCATAACCACACTAGATATGTAAAGCCTGGATTTTGCACAGAAACGCTGATGGGCATCTGGCATCTGCTGCTGAGAAAGTCACAGGCTGCTCTGAGGTTGCCACAGGGATAGCAGAGCAAAACTAGCACTCACGAGCACAAAAATAACCAGCACAACTAAGTGCACATGCTCATTTCTGCATTGTAGCCTGAGGTACCCTGTGCATCCACCACCAAGGCAGAAAGAAAAAAGAACCAAAGCCTCCTTCGCACCTCCCCTCTTTCCACCTCCCACTGATCTGCCAGGCAGGAGCTCGTGGTTGCTGCAGAGTGCTTGCAGCATCTTGGAGGCAGGGAGAAATGGCAGCAGCTGGGACCACTCAGACGCCTTCCTTCTATTCCTCCCTGCTTCTGACACCCAAACTGCAGAGTACACTAGAGTGGAATGTTAAGTTTGGCCCGCTGGTCTTCAGTTAGGCACAGACCACAGGCTCCAGGAGCAGCTCTGCAGCACCTGTTACAGATATTCTTAGGTGCTCATGATGAATAAATTGCTTTTTGAGTGATTTTCAACGCACACACAGATACTTAGGCAATGTCTCTCAAGATGGAAACAGTCTCAGAAACTACTCAGTGGTGGTCTAATACACTCTGTGCGTCACATGCCACTCCTATGGACAGATAGGATGCTGCATGCTGTGTGCATCAGGCAGAGCCAGAGGTTTATCCATTTGTGACCATCACCTTAGCAAGCAGGTATTAGAATTTTGTAAGCATTTGTATTTGGTTTCTGGGTGTATTTCTGTGTATTTGGTTTTGGGTTGGTTTTTTTTTTTTTTTTAAGTCTTAATTTTCCCGTTGCATTTGCACTTACTCTTTTAAAAAAAAGACTTAAACTTTGTGCCCTCTGTCACAATTTTCTCCTTTTCCTTGAGTATCACCTGGATCATTTTTACTTATGAGAAATACTTTTTCTTAACATAAAAAACCACTTCAGTAATAATGATGTCCACTACTGGGAAGCAGGTTATCTACCTTTATCAGACAGATATACATACTGTTTCTGCTGTCTAGAAGACCCTACTCTGGTATATATAAATAATTTGAGTCACAGATGCATTGACATTACAAAGATGCATTAAGAAATGACACAGAAGTGCTTTCAAACTTGGGGACCATGGACCATTCTGAACTGCATCTCCTTTTCAGGACCTTTCACCACCTGGACACTACACTAGAAGGGGAAAAAGTAAACCTTTTGCACATCTGACCTTTATGACACCACCAGTCTCCACCAAGCCTCCAAGAAAGGCTTCTGCCTAATGAACTCATGCTCAAAGCCTCCCAGACCACATACGATTGTCAATACTTAGACATGCTCTGAATAATTTTGCCCACTATATAGTTGGTACAAAGCTAAGGAGCAGAAAGAGGAAAAAAAAAAAGACAAACTCTCCACTCCTCTGCTTGGGAATGGCAGTCCTCTTTGAGGTCCACATCAAAATCTGCTTCTAGATCTAAATATCTGCTTATTATTCAAATCAAACATTTCCTTTCCTAAATCACACATTCTGGGACTGGCCTATCACTGCAATATTAGGATGCCCAAAAACATGTATTTTGTACCTATACAAAACAAAATCCTTTCAGAAAGTTCTCTGGGGTCTTCCTCCACTTGGCAGGCTCTAAAGGCACAGTTGTCTCAAGGTAGGGACCTGAGCACAGCCCAGCACCCCGCAGCACTGAATACAGCTCCTGGGAGGGTTCCCATGTTGTCAAGAATGCTGAGGATACCTTGGTGGCAGCTCTGGGGAGGCCTCAGCCCCAGATATGACAGCAAGGCTGAAGGGAGCTTGTACAGAAGCAGCATGGCTTCCACATGAGTGGCAGAGGGCATTTTTTCTCCCCATAAAAATAACAAAGATTCTTCTGCAGAATATGTAATCCTGGGAGAGGAACATCTTGTACATCAGGGTGCTGTGGTGTGAATGTAACATACAGAATGTCAGCTAAGAACAAATCTAGTCTCTTGCAGGTAACTAGTTCTTCAATCTGTATTGTCTAATACCTGGTATGTATGATGGCAATCCTCCCTCACCTTCACAGCCAAGTTTCCTGGACAGATTAGAACTTGCAGGCTGTGAGAACTGAAAAGCACAGACTGTGCTCCATGTATATGTGTGCACATACAGGAGAAGAGACAGGGGGAAGGAAAAAGTCTTCTCTGAGCAGAACTTGTGACCTAGAGTAACCATTCAAAATTATTTTGTAAAAAAAAGGAAACACACACAAAAAACAAAACAAAACAAAACAAAACAAAACAAACAAACAAAAAAGAACCCTCAAACAAACAAATTAATAGAAATTTCAATATTCACAAAGCAGTAAGTCCAGAGCAGGACATCAGGGTTTTGTACACTACAAATGTGAAGCAAAGGGGTGAATGGGCTGTGCTGGCTCACTTGTTGCCTATGTGTTCACAGTGCAGTGTCTGAAACCTTTTCCTTTGTTTTTTTTTGGAAGCACCAGAAAACTTATCAATCAACTAGGAGCCAAGATAAACCAGGTTATGGATGTCATTAAATACACAACCTGCTGACAGCCTCTGTATGTTTCAAAATGATCAGAGACTGGAAGGACTGGATCAGATTCACAGTAGATAGCAACTCAACATCTTTTAGAAGGTCGGCATGGAAACAAATGCCTGGTCAGGGATCCAGGTTCTCCCTCTTCCTGAGAGACCCTCAGGTCCTTCTCAGACACAATGTTCAAGCAAGCTCCCCCTAATAGACTACCTCATCTTGGCACCCCACACGCATCCTCCAAATGGCTGCATCGAGCACATCCTCGCAGCCATGAGCTCCAGGGGCAACCACCTCCCTGTGGGGACTTCTCACTGCAGGGAACATGCCCCTGGCTCAGCTGTGAGTTTCGTATCTCCCTTTGGGGTGTGGGTGCACGTTTTCATCAGTTTCACTGGCTATTTTGGCAGTAGCTGACTTTCCTGATCATGATATTACATGGTGTCACATCCCAGTTTCTTGGGATAATGACTCAAATTCGCTGATTCCCAGGTCAGGATTAAGGTGAAATGACACCAAGGATTATTCAATTCACAAAAATCAGTTTTTATTGGCCCACAACAGATATTAGCATGAAACTTTGTCAATGAGGCTTGCAACTTCTGCAATAGGCAGTAAACTTACACTGACTAGCAGCAGATCTTATAACACACACCAACAAGTCTTAAACATACCCTGACAAGCCTTGTCTTATATATGGGGATACAGAAAGAGAACGAGAGAAAAGGAGAGAAAGAGAGAAAAAGAAAGACAAAAAAGAAATATTTCACCAGTCCTGGTTCCATCATTGGTCCAGCCAGCCTAGTGGTCCAATTCCAAAGGGGTGCAGGCACCTGGAGCTCTGACTCATGTCCTCTTATAAATCATTGCCCCTCCTCCAGATGGGCACTTAGATTCATTAGGTTAATTAAGCATCATGCACAATCTGTGCTTCTCAAATTCTTCTTGCTTTGGTATGCGTAGTTTGTACCTTCAGATTCTTCTGGAAAGAGGTTGGTGGGCTTGGGGGTCATTGGGAATTTACTCCCACCCCTCCCTGCAAGTATGACCATTGTCTGACCTTTCCTTTTGGCTGAAAATGGCTTCTGTATTGGCTCTTTACAGAGTTGCTCAAGATAGGGAATTTCAGCCCCAGAAAAGTGTGATCCCACCTCCACAGGACCCCCTCCTCCTGCTGGGTCTTCCTGCCATTACCTGCACAGCCCCAGTGTTTTGACAGAAACCATTTCCTTTACCAAAGTTCTTTATCCGATGATTTGAGTCATTATGGTTTCATCAGACTGTCACAGACAGCATCTCCTGGGTACATAGAGCTTACACCACCACAGGAACACCATGCTCTCCCTGTTCTCCTCCACCTCGCTGCCCACCATTTCTTCCCCCACCAGCCATACCTACTGCAAGCACCAGTGTCCCAAGCTGTCCCACTGCACCCCACAGAGTGCCCCACACTGGCACTGCCCTGGCAGCTCCGTCCTGGCCCTGCTGCAACCAGGCAACCCAGTGTTGGGGAAGTGGCTCCTTCAGAGGATGAGAAAGAACTCTGAAATCTGTATCAGGAGGGAGAATAGCTTTTATCTCCTCAGCAGACTGCAGCAGGGCTTTCAAACCATATATCTGCTGAGGCAGTACTACTTCGTGCTGTTGGCTCCTTGCACCAGAGTGAAAAATGTCTGTCAGGCTCCTGCAAGGATGTGGAGAGGATTTTATGGGCCTTCTGTGACAGGAGGAGTGAGATATTACTCCTTGTGGTGGATGTTATTGCTGTTAGGGCTTTCCATAAGTAGGACAGCTGTCCTGGCCTCAGCTGGTCTGAGGGCAGAAAGGGCAGCACCCAGCTCTGACAGTTCTGGGAAGGGGTGTTTCAGGCCCTCTTCTCCCCTGCATCTAACTCTCCCACAGGAGCTAGAAGGGGTATCCAGGCCCCATGCTTTTAGGGCTTTTTATCCACCTGCAGCATCACTCCCTCTGTGCACAGCACTGAAGGCTGTGTCTCATGGCAGCAAGAGAAGGGTGAAGGATAAGGGTGGAGCAGGAGGCAAATCCACACCTGGAGAAAAAAGCAAGGCCAGGAAGGAGGGAGGGAAGGAAGAGGCAATCTCCTGGGGTTGCTCAGCATGCAAAAAATTAGGGTCTCTCGAAAGGACTGAGGAGGGATTTTAGGGATTTATAGACTGTTATCCCTGAGGATAGAGGTACGGGGCTCCTCCAGGAAGGGAATAGGAAAGACAGAGTTTTGTTCCTTGGATGAAGCAGACACAAGGGCCCCATAAGAGCCATGGCAGCGAGGCTTAATTGGTTTTACACTATTGTTGAGAAGTGTGTTAAGTAAAAAAGTTTTATTTGCTCTTCATTTAAGGAAAGACTCTTCACCTCTGATGTGAAGTACATTGTCTTCTGCAAGCTCTTTCTACTCCTCTGCATATTTCTAGGCTAATATATCCTAAAATAAGTTGTTGCCTTTACAATGCATGTACTCTTCCTTAAAGTCTATGCTGAAGAATTACCCCAGCAGGCTTTCTGTTCTGGAGCTTGATGTTAGCACGCTGCATTTTCCCTAAGCTCTCTGGCTCAGCAACTTTATGCCATATACAGCAATAGCAAGTATTAATAAGGAGTAGGCAGAGTGCTTCGTCTCCCTTGGCAGCTTTTTCAACACCAAGCCAATACCAGAGATGTACAACTACCCACTGTAAAAAAAGAAACTTTGGGGGGTTTTTAGTGCTTCTACTGATATATGAAAAGAGAAACCCACTGCAGTGTTTAGGAAGGAGCCAGGGTACTTGTTTTATGGCTACAAGCTTCATTGTTGAAAGGACTCAGAGCCAGCAGCCTGTGGGTCAGGATACCCTGCTGCAGAGCTGGCAGTGGAGGGAAGGCAGCAGGAAGGGGCCAGCAACCCCATGGCAGGGCACAGCAGGAGGGTTTGGGCTCACCTCTCCCTTCACCTAGACACACAAGACACACAATCTGGCTCTTCTCAAAACAGAGTTCTCTGGGCACCAACCTTTGGCTCTCCACCTTCACATGTCCTTCTGGATTACAAGAGCAAAACTACTGGGTAGGTCAAGAGAAAATTTCTCCCTGTCCAAGAAAACTAAGGTGCATAAATACTGATTAAAGGCCATGAAGGCAGAAATGGACACTGACTGAATCCATCGGTGCTTTCCTATTTTAACTAGCTTCAGTGACTTCAGTCTCTACTCAAGAAAGATTCCTTACTGTCTTGTGCCATATACATACAGCTGATCTCTAAAGAGGAACATACTTAAAATATATATTTAAATTATCGAAACAAGATAAACCTTTTTGTTTGTTTGTTTGTGTGTTTTTTCCAAAATATTGATGTGGATTAATAAAAGGATTCATTTCAGCATCTCTCTGTCTATGTCAGAATACCCACATCCTCATCTCATGAGTTTATTGTTCCAAAAGTAAGCTGTATTAAATTCACAATTAATTACTGTGATTGTGACAAAAGCCTTCTAGGCAAATTTTGCCTAGCCATAACCAATACTAATGTTTCATTCTTCATATTAAGACTTCATTCATATAAATATGTTCTTATTACAAAATTTATGTTTTCTGAAACAACACATTTTCATCTGAAGCTAATAAAAAGGAAATCTCCCTTCCCCATTATTGAGAACCACATTCAACCTTCTGTATATTACTGCTCTGTAATTTTAGAAAGGACTAACCTTACATAATCTGTTTCACTAACATCAATATATTCCCTTTCAACCTCTTGTAGTATGAAACTTCCTGGATAATTAACCTTGAAATATTTGGGCTGTAAATGGAGAAGCCAACTCAACCAGAACTACAACTGTGCTACTGGAACCGCAGCAATAAACACAGACTGTGCCTCCCTTCAGTTTTCTTTCCCTTGAATCTCCTTTCAGGAAATTTACTGGTGTAATAATTTAATTTACCTGAGTCATGCTTTTTCAAAATTTTGCCCATTTAGATGTGCTACTGTATTTGGGTCCTACTCTAATCAATAGCTCCAATCAGATTTCTATGATTAAGTGCTCCTGAAATGCATCTGCCTATGGTTGGTATTTTTCATACAGATTGTGTAGCAAAATCAAGACTTAACAGTCTCTGCTTTTTCACCATTTAAATCCTCAAAGTATAGCTATTCTATAACCTTACTAAAATACTCTCTCTTGCTGTTCCTTACATTATTTAATTTGCCAGGGCACTAAGTTGCCCTCCATTAGGGGGAACATCAACATTTAGCATAAACAACCCACCATCTATATTTTCCTTTTCAATATTATGCATTGCAAAAAATAATTTTCTTCCTGAAGTGCTAAGGCTTGGACAACTGGCCCAAGCCAGAGTTGACCTATAGATGAATCCTGTGTATTTTATAACTGATAACCTTTGTGCCAGTAGGTGTTGTACTAAGTTATAACAACACACTCGTGCTGATGTAAAAAGTGCTAAAGCATTGAAGTACTGAAGCCTGAACAACAGGCCCCAAGCCGAAGCTGCTAACTTAGTCTGTAATCATTAACAAAGTGTGTAAGGTCGCTAGTGAAAGATGCAGCTTAGACAAAATATCATCAGTAGTGAGAAGAGAATGTATCCAACATCCCTTGTTTAGCCTTGTCAAGGCTGAGAACCCAAGTGTCTGGCCTTGTTAGAAACTCCCCTGGTCTCTCCCCCTGAGCCCTGGACAGGCTTTGGGTGGAATCCAACAGGAGAATGAAACCAGAAATTTTTTGCTCAAAACAAAGGTGACAGCTATTCTGGCCTGCCAATCTCTGGTATATAAGGCTGGACCCGCTCACAGGGACTTTGGCAGCCTCACCTACGGATGGATGCACCGTGTAGGATTTCCCACTGTCCGGGACAGGCTCTGCAAACCCTCCCTGCAGCTGGGGCTGCCCAGCAACTGCGGGGTTGGACGATAGTAACATGCAAGTGGTGATGTATTTTTCTTAATCTCCATCCTCTCTCTCATGTAGTAATGATTTGATGCATTACCCTGTATTTTCCTGTTTGCTGCTTTAAGTGCACTATTCTGCTTTTTCTTACAGTATGTTTTCTGTATTACACAGTTTCATTGGTTATCACCAGTAAAACACACCTACTCTTTTCACTCTGGTGTCTGAGTTTAATTGGTATCCTTAATCAGCAAAACACTTTCAAAGCAAATAATTAATGTTTGCTTTATTCCCACTTTTTTTCATAGATTTTAAGAAGGAACTGATTTCCTTCCTACCATCCTCATTTTGTTAAACATGGTTCTGCTTTCTGAGTACATATTTCCAAGTATTAACAATGTCACACAGGAGCTGGTTGAGTTAACAATACAAGTACACAACCTGTATTCAAAATAACCTTATGATAGGTGTTCTAAACCAGTTCCAGATTCATGTTACCCAACAGGGTTTTTTTTTCTAATCAGAAATATGATTCACATCCTATATACTAGTATAAGGGAAATTTAATATCTAGATTTTGGGCTCTAGTTTTGTGGGTTTAATTTTTTCCCGAGTATACCAAAGAGAAAAAAAATAGCCTTCAAAACTTAAAGACTTCACTATTTCTGCTGACATTTATAGAAGGGTCTTACAGTGCTTAAATGGAAGTGTTTGGGTTGGTTTACTAGGTTTAGTTTATCCCACTAAATGAGGAAATCTCTTTTCACTTTTATGGGACTTCATGATATCAAGCAAGAAAAGCAACTTGACTCACTAGATTTGAGTCAGTAAGGGGTGGGAGGGAACTCCCCATAGGCAGCTGGTCATGGCATGCTTAGCTATTACCTGACTAATGCTGATGGGATATAAACCACCTCCAAGTGATATGCAATGGCAGCTTTGGAGAGTAGATATAAATGTTGTGCTGAGAGTGAGATGCATAGAATTATTTTTGTTACACTTGTTTTAAAAATAACAAATTGTTGCAGTAAGGTAAGAATTACTGGAAGCAGGTAAAGCTAAGAGAAGAGAGAATTCTCAGATGTTTGATAAGCAACATGCTAAACATCGAGAGGCCAAGGAACCTGTACATTTTGTAACATAAAAAAGAGCCCATTACCAGCTCTTTGCAATTAAAGAACAATTCTGACTCTCCAAAAGCAAATATTCTCCTCATTGGATGCCAGTGATACCTGTTTGAAAAAGGTTTCACCCAAACACTGAAGAAACGGAACTCACTAGTTAATTAGAGAACTTTAAAAAGCCACAGTTCCTGACTCAGAAACACCTTCTCATTCTTGAAAGGGATGTTGTAATTCAGATAGATGCTGGTAAAAAAATTATTTCTTACCCAGAGCATCTTTAGATGGCAGTATGGTATTTGCACATGAATGAAGGCAAAATAATACCAGTTATGTGCCCACTTTAAGTCAGGAGCAAGAAAAATGCTAAAAAGAAACTGTACAGGATAAAGAGTTACAAGTGCTCACATCTATCACTTCAACAGTTTGGTCAGATGAGGAGAAAACTCTCAAGGTTAAGGCTTTACCAAAAATAAGATGAATATTATATATATAAAAATATATAATAACAGTGAAAACACACCTCATTACCAGCAGAGAAAAGCAGGTATGTGCCTACTCATCCATACAGTAAGAAACTGTTTTTCTTTCCAGAAAACAGCTCTACAGAAGCTCCTTATAAATGGTTCCTAATCAGCTGCTGCTTCTCCAAAATGAGTTAGGGATAATGATGTGCACCTGGAGTTAGCAATACTTCTTGTAAATGTCTTAATAACTCCTCTCTCAGCATTTGGCATGGGGTACAGGCAACCTCAAACTGCCATTGCTGAAATGGCCAGGTTGGAGAAACTTAAACTGCTGATTCTTACACTACCAGTAAAGAAAATGGTGGAAGATGTGATCAGCAGGGACACGTAGAGCCACATTATTCCTACCAATCTAAACTCTCAACAAAAGATCTTGGATAACTAAAGCATATAGCAAGCACGGGAGAACTGTTGTCTGCCGAATGACAACAAGCACAGTGAAACCCATTACAACTCCACCTCATTACCACAGCAGTATGTCTCATCTCTCAGGCTCTCCAGGGAGATCGGATTTCCCCTGTGCTCTGTGGAAAGAGAGCAAAAAGAGACTGAACAAACTTAATCTCACAATTAAAGCTCAATATCTGAAGATCTAGAATCAGTAATAAAGTAGCCAGTCCTCCTAGGTTTTGTTGAAGTCCATGCTCCTCTCCCACTGTGTCACTATGGGCATGTGAACCGAAATCAAGTACTGGTGTGAGACAGCTCTGGGCTGAGCTGTGAAAGGAGGAGTGTAACAAGAGCTGAGACTTTCAGGTTGTCAAGTGCTTACAGAAGATCCTTCTGAATAATTTCTGTGGTGTCAGTAGACTAAACATACTGTCTGGCCTGCTCTGGGAATGGCTGTGTGTTGCCCCACCAACCTCTGCAGCAGCATTATTTGGCTTTGTATAGTCTGGGCTGTACATACCCTACAGGAGGAATATGAACCTGGATCTTGGGATGCATTGAGCACCTAAGGGCAGTGCAGGCATAACCTCTTCTTTCTCAGTGAAGGTTCTTTTCAAAACAAAACACAACCTCAAAATAACATCTTTATCACATACTTAAAAAATACATGTTATTCTGAAACTATGGTAATATATACTACATAAGTGCCCAAGACAAGCCCACAGATCTCTGCTCTGTTGCTTTGTATATTCCTTAATGCTTGTAACTCAGCTGACTTGGTTTAAAGGACTTTTGTAGCGATTTTATAATAGCCATAATACTCTGCATCACATGAGCTAGAAAAAAACTAGATAAACTTTATACTATTGCTATTATTCCAGACTGAAAAAGAGGTAGAATGAAAAAGAAATGAATTTTGTAAAACAGTGCTACAATTCAGCAATATCTGGCACTGCAATCCTATCACTTACATGCCAATTCTCCACCAAATTGGAACTAATCATCAGGCATTGCATACCTTTTTTTTATTATCATGTATGGTGTGTTTTGAGTCTGAGACAAGGGGATTGAATATTTGTAGCATAGCAATTTTCCATTATCATTTTTGTTCTCACCACTACTGTTCCAATACTGCAGACACACTTGTGCACCAAGAAAAGCTTGCAAGCATTCCTCTGATAATATAAAGATGGGATTTGGGCATGTGATGGACTCACAGGCTTCTTCACTGCAGAAAATACTGTCAATGAAACTGCAGCACCACCTCTGAGTTATTCTGATCAGAGATTTTGCAATTTGTCTTAGGGAAGAGTTTGTGCAGAATTTATCATAACCAGTCTAAGCCGCATCATCCTTCTACTCCCAAATGTTACAAGAACAAAACAAATGCAGTACAAACACCAGCACAACCTTCAAAGGACAGAAAAGGAACACATACACTCACTTAAACTCATTTATTTACACCCAACCTGAGATGAGAACACCCAAGTTAAAGTGATTAAATGAAAAGCGAAGCCAGCTGGCATTAGAAATGTTATCACTGATAAATAATGCCAAGCCTTGAAACTATCAACTGTAACTGGATAGATCCTGAAGTCCTCATCTGGTCCTTTAATGAAACAAAGCTAGCATGGAAGAAAAAGGGATTTATTTATTTTTTGTGCTGTATTTTGTGGAGAACAGAGAAACCCTAAGTTTTAACCATAAAATGCATAAACTGGAGAAACAATTGATCCTTGTGTGAACTAGAACATCCAAGAAAGCCTGACTAGAGAGCACTGATTTTATACCTGGTACTGCACGTTACTGACAACGCCTACAAGCACCTATATCTTACTTCTTTTTGTCAATTGATTTCTGTGCTTCATCCTTTGCCTGTTACAATAAAAGCAGCCCAATAAGGGGAGCAAGTGGTTTCTGGGATTTGACAGGCTACTCCTCCAGGAGCAACTGGTAGGCCAGGGCTGTGTCATCCAGACATTTGCAGCTCCTGGCACTTACATGGAGTTTTTAGTGAAAAAAAAAACAAAACAACTGGTTAACACAAAGAAAACTTCTCATGTAAATACTCAGGATTTGACAGTAATGTTGTTCATTGGCATCAGTGGGATCCTTGGTCACAACTAGAGACAAGGTAAGAGATAGACTTCTCATTGGCTTCTCAGCTGGGACTTGGAGGTGGTTTTGCAGATCCCACTGGAGTAATGAGTCTCCTGTCAGGACTACCCTGCTGTGGTGTAGGGAATTTACTGCAGGGAATTCACTACAACAGAGAGACAGAAGAAGAAATTAACTGTTAAATGTGCAGTTAGGACAGTACCTCAGTAGATACAGAGGTACAATTCCCTGCACCAGATTAGGTGGAGGAGGGACATTGAACATGGCTCTCACACAACATTGCTGTCTCAAGTAACTACCTCAGTTTAACTGGCTGTTGACAGCTTTCATTTTTTCCTTTATATTTTCACAACAATATTCAGACATCTTGTTTTCAGGGTAATTGATTTCAGCTCCTCTGGTGATTATCCAGCTGCAGTCCCCTCTGCCCCTGGAGCATCCATTTTTGTAGTATCCACACCTAAAGTTGGTCTTTTTTTCCATGAACACCACTGGTAGAGAAGAATCAAGTGATTTGCATTTTTGCTGATAGCTTTAGTGCTCAGGTTGTTGTGAAAGCTCCAGCTGAAGACAGATCCTTTGGTTCCTTGAAGTCTGTCAAAATCAGTGGGAGTCTTCTCATGATCCTTCACTCAGTATAAGTGATGATCTGCCAGGGAAGCTCTTGTGAATTTTATTTTCTTTTTTTTAAATCCCTCAGTCGGTCAGGCCAGGCCTCCTAGACACTCCTAATAGTAAAAGACAAGGTTTTTTGCTGTATCCTCAAGTGGAAGGTGTGCACAACACAGGAGTGTGACAATTCACTGAACTCACATGTAGACACTGCATACTTAATGGTAAAGAGATACATTAGTTTCAATAATAACATAAATTAAAATTAAATAATAACAGATCAAAGATAGCAATACTTAAGTACTACACATATTTTAATATAAAAATTAAGTGACTTCTGATGTATTTTCATGGCAAGAAGAAACATAAATCAATTCTTAAATATCTGTTTAAGAGCTTCACTTATCTAAACTTACAATCAAACTGAAATGCCTTTCACCATACAAGAAAAGTCTAACAAATTAGAATCCTTCCAAAAGCTTTGGAGAATATTGAAAATTAAGTAATAACCCATTTTTCTAATATAATTTTAACCATTATGAAATATTTAATTCTGTAGATTTACAGATCTTAAAGCTAAAAGCTATTAGGAGCATCAAGTCAGAACCTCAGCATCTTGTGTCCTGGAAAATGGCCTGGTCTTCTTGTAAGGAGGCTGGCAGACAGAGTCCATCACATTCCTCAATTAATTGTTTCAATATTTAGTTATGTATTCCTTTAGAAATGTTAGATTTATTTCTGGTGTGAATTTCTTTGTCTTCAGCCTCCAGCTATTAGATTTGACTATGCTATTTTCTGCTCAATTAAAGAACTGTTAAAAACCCATGTACTGTTGTGTCAACGCAAAGGGAGCCTGGCTGCTAGAGGAACATATGTTGAAATCTGTTGTGCTTTAGTTTATGTTAGTTTTTCCCATGGCATCTCTCCATGCAATGAAACCAACCTGCACATAATTAACATCCCTAAAGTAATGAGGAACAAGAAGATCCTCCTGGGAAGGTGGAGGTCGAGGCCCAGCTGAGCTCTGCTGACAGCAATCTCCAACTACAAACACATTGCCCTGTTTCTGTATTTTGGGGGCACTATGGGCTGGGCAAATTTAAGCAGTGAAACAGGGCACTACTCTTCACCCTCTCCCACCCCTGGAATACCTGAAGGAAAAACTGGTAAAGGGATGGGATTTGTATTCTCACCCCCTATTTCTTTGCACTACTGTGGGAATTCAGCTTTTGATTGCAAGTTTTTTTATACACTGAAATCATAGCTTTGTTTTTCACTTAGAAGACTGTCACTGTACTACAATCCACATCTTCAAAGTCTAGCAAAATCATAGAGGACGAAAAATGATTCAGAAAGGTCAGGGAACCTTAAAATATAAGAAAAAAATGCTGAATAAATATATAAAGACAGTCCTGTACTGCTGTTTTGCACTCACATTAGCCCAGTAGCTGTAGGATGCATTATGCTATGGGCATTATATACACCCATAGGAAAAGCAGATACAAGCATTACTGTGTATCTCTTGGCTAGAAGTGCCAAAATAAGGATATGTGTAATACTGCTCCTCCTGTAAGTAATACAGAGTCACAGTTTTGTGAGTCGTTTGAGGTTTTTCCAAAGCAGCATGTGAGATTGTTATAAAGTACTCTCACTTCTCGGACCTTCATGGCTGGTATTCAGAAAAATAAGTATTTGTTCCAGTTGTGTGTGCTTGGCTTTTTCTTTTGCCAAAACAGCATTTTTCCAATTCCTATTTCTTAACATTTTCATCATTAACATTCAAGCTTAGAAGATGTGTTTATAAACTGTCAAAAGTCTGGTTTTAATTTTTTCATAAAAATGAAAAGCAAAATATTGTGCTCATCTTCCAACAGCAATGCACAGTGCCAGGGTGTGCATTAATAAGACACTGTCTCTTATCTATGTGTTTTAAAATATGATAATGCTTAAACAGCCTTCAAACTCACATCCTGCTATTACTTATTGCCATATTTTCACAGTATTTTTTTTCCCAATAATAGTCAGTCCTTTAGCACTCTTTGTCATTCATGTAAATCAATACTTTTATGCTTGTTCTGAGTTAGTAAAAGAAGTTATTAATTAAAATGTTACAATTAACTTGCTGGTGTCCTCTGCTGACTTCCATTATTTTTAATGAGTAGTTTGAGGGTAAAATGCTGCACTGTTCTTTTGGACTACAGAGAGAGCAGTGTCATGTCAAGCCTTGATAATGGCAAACAAGCTGGTTCCTGTTCCACATGCTCAGAAGATATCACTTGAGTTGTCTTCCATTTTCTAATTATTCACTGAAAGTGAAAAGAAGGGGTGTGATCTAGGGAGAAGAGAAATGGAAAAAGCATATTTTCTTCTATTATTTTGGCATTCCTGCCATTACTTGGTGCTTTGTTCATATCATGATTGATTGCCAAAGAAACACAATTATTTTTTTTTTAAAGAAAAATCTCTAATTAAAGCCTTGATTATGTTCTGCTTTCACATCATAATAAGCTCATATATCTTGTCTGTATATGGTCCATATGGGAGGAAGGAGACATTAAAAATAAGTGCCTTCCATCTTTACTGTATGGACTTTGTGCAGTCTAAATCAGAATGCAGGCATTCATTTCTGAGATATAAGAGGACAACCCCCTTTCAGTGCCATTGAAACCAGACAGGAAATTTCATTGATTCTCCCTTACCAACGTACCAATTATTAGAAATGGCCACAGCAACAAAGATTTCTCTCTCTCCCTTGCCCCCTCATTCCCTTGTTTTATCTTCACATACACAATGGTGTCTCTTTCACTGCTGCATTGCTTGTTGCTTCCATCCATGATAAACTTTTCTTTAGTTAATCAGACTTCATTAATGTCAAACAACAGTTTCCTAAAACCCAGTTTCCCCCTCTCTTTCCCAAGTCCCTCTTTCTCTGCTCTGTTTTCTCCAGAGTCTAGAGGGAACATTTTGACTGTTCAGACCTCACCTGGGCTTAGAATTTCTGCAGTTTTGCCATAAGCCTTGTCTGGAGTATGTCGACTTGGAATCATAGAATACCAGGAGGGACCTCAAGGATCATTTAGTCCAACCTTTCTTGGCAAAAGCAAGGTCTAAACAAGATGGCCCAACACCCTGTCCAGCTGAATCTTAAAAGTTTCTAATGTTGGGGAATCCACCACCTGGGGAGATGATGCCAATGCTGGTTGTTCTCATTGCAAAAAGTAGTCCTTCTGTCCAATGGGAATGTCCCCAGGAGTAACTTTTACCCATTACCTCTCATCTTTTCCATCTGATTCCTCGATAAAAGGGCATCTTCATATTCTCTGTAGCCACCCTTTAGATACTGGAACATGGTGATGAGCTGTCCTCTAAGCCTTCTTTTCTCAAGGCTGAATAAACACAATGCTCTCAGCCTTTCCTCACATATCAGGCTTCCCAGTCCTTTGGTTATCCTTGTGGCCTTTCTCTGGACCCTCTCCAGCCTGTCCACATCTTTTTTGTATAGTGGGGACCAAAACTGAACACTGTATTCCAGGTGTGGCCTGACAAATACTGAGTAGAGTGAGATAATGACACTGCTTGTCCAACATCAACCGAGCAAGTTATTTGGTTGTAGAAGGTGATCAGGTTTGTCAAACACAGTTTGCCCTTGGTGAAGCCATGTTGACTTTTCCCAATCACGTATTTCATTTGACTTGTGATATCTCCCAGGAGGATTTGTTCCATAACTTTCCCAGGGACTGAAGTAAGACTGAGGGGCCTATAATTTTCTGGATCCTCTCTTAAGCCTTTCCTGTAGAGAGGGATGACATTAGCCTTCTTCTACTCTTCTGAGACATCCCCCAATGTCCACAACTTCTCAGATTATGAAGAGTGGCCTTGCAATCAGCCAGATCTCTTAAATCCCTCAGGTGGATGTTGTCAGGGCCCATTGATATGTAGGGGTCAAACTCTTATAACAGTTTACATACCAACTCCTCCTTCACTGGCGGTGAATCTGTGTTTGCATCAACCTGCATTTGTGTTCCCAAGACCTAGGGACCAACAATATTGGTAAAGACAGTGTTGAAGAAAGTTGAGAACCTCTGACTTTTCAATGTTGCTGATTAATTCACCTCTTATATTTAACAGTGGGCCAATACTTTGGAAATTTGTTGTCTTTCTATACAAAGACAGGTGCTGCCCTTACCTAAGAGGCAATGGAAGAGATATCTTTCACTTTTTTAGGCTTATGGGTATATCTGCCCAGTTTAATAAAATGAGTGCAAAGTGCAAAGCCTGTGTTGATGACAGTATCACCAAATGAGGTCCTCGTGTCAGTGAAGCATCAGACAAGAACGCTCAGATCAGAAGTTTGTCTCCAGTTGCTCTGTCTGGGATGCTGGTTCTCTCTCCTCTGCCCACCAACCAGCCCATCAACTTAAGAAGGAACATTAGAGGGAGGGAACAAAAGTTCCTGCTCTGACAGATAGTCAGTGTCATTGATACCACTGCTGCTATGTGAAATGCTACTGGCAGTGGCATAGGCATTGAAGCTGTGGAAGGGTCACATCCTCCACATCTCTGCACTCCTCTGTCTCCTTCTGCTTACCCTTCCTCCTACCCACTTAGACTCAGAAGGATATTCTGCATATGATGATAAGACTGGAA